ATGAATTCTGTGGTACCTTCCAGATCTAAAATCTTGTGACATCAATTTGGAGTATACTTTACTACTTAAAAATAATGACATGTGAATGGATTGTTTTTTATGAGTCATAACTATAATGACTCTGTGGAGACAAGAATAATAAACACACTACACAAAATATCACTAAATAAAGTATTAAAAGTAAACCTGTGAATAACTATTACAAAATAACTCTACTTTATGAAAGATTCAAGAAGGGATGAGCCCCCTAATGAGTCAAGCTCTATGTTAACTACTGTTTTCAGTGAAAGAAGTCACTGGTAGTCTTGAAAATAAATGGGAAGCCAGTGTACACATTATTTTTAAATTACCATTATAAATCAAGGAGCAAAAACTTAAAACTTCTCAGGTGCTATTCATAAAAGCACTTAGTATAATGCCCAATTTCAGATATGAGGAAAATATTTTTATTCAACTATTACTAATACTGTAACGGTTATAATTTATATCAGACTAATTATGGAACCGACACTGTTGACTTTACATTTATTAACTCATTTAATCCTACAGTAACACCAAGAGGTATTATTATTATCCCCATTTTACAGATGAGGAAACGAAGCCAAAAAGGTAAAGTGACGTGTTCAAGTTCACTCAGCTCTTAAAAAATCAAACTAGTATTCCACTTCAACTACCATTTCCAACATTCAATTATTTTTCTATTCCTAAAGAATTTCACTTGAGAAATTAATTTGGCTCACATCAAATATATGATTATAAATCTGTTTATTTTAGTAACTCTTGTGTTACATTACTTCCTCTCACTAAAGAAAAATAACTGACTCTGAATATATGGGTATAGTATACCAAGAGCACAATGCCATCTGAATTGACTATGATCTCTAATAGAATAAACACAAATATCTAAACGTTTTCAAAATTTTGTGTTGATGCATCCACTATTATCGCAAAAATTCAGTCAGCTCACACAAAGCTGAGATCTCAGAAAAGATCAGGAACATGCCAGAGTAATTATTAATCATTTAAAAACAATCCATAAATTTACGATGGCCAACATGGGTAGTGAAACAATAATTTTTTTGGTTTGAAACGACCTTTTCACATGAGCCAAACACATTTTTCTCACGATATTTCATCCTAAAAACTTTTTTTTAATGTCATGTTAAAACTGTCTAAAAGTTGTGGTCCATCTTCCATCCCGCTAAAACTTTTCCTCTACCCTATCCCCGTAATTCTTCCCATGGGCATCATTTTACTTTATATCTACAAACTTTACCTGTTCTTCGGCGCTCAGGACTCAGCTCCCCTTCAGCTTTTCAGGTGGGTGCCCACATCCACCACACCCTTGCGGGCCCCCATGCAAGGCTGCTCCTCCTCCCCGGGTTCTCCAGCACCAACTCAGCACCTATCAGCTACGCCCCCCGGCCCCTGGCCCAACCCATCTTCGGACACGTGCGAGGCTGTTTGTGTCACTCCATCAGTCCCACAGGGGACGGGGTTCACTTACCGAGACAGAAGCGCCAACTTTTGCTCCAGCATCATCTCCAGCTTCTGGCCCTGTTTGGAAATCCAGTGGTCCACCCCATGCAGGCGGTAGCACGTCTCCAACATCAACCTGAAGTCCGCCACGAACTCGGTTATGCCCCCATACTGGCCGCTGGCGAACTTCTCCTCCATCTTCAGCAGACACATGCCCTGCCCGAGCTGTGGCGGGAGGCCGCGACAGCCCCGGCCCCCGCTGCGCGGCCCCTCGGCCACTTCATCCTCCCCGGTGGCAACGCCCCCCAAGGGCTGCAGGAAGGGGGCGGTGAGGCCCCGGTGCTTCTCCTGCAGGAACTCGCCCAGGATGCGGTAGCCCTGCTGCAGCTCATAGGTCAGCTCCTGCTCCTTGCAGCCTCCGCCCCCGACCACCATCTCCTGTTCCTCCTCCTCCTCCTCCTGGTAATTCTCATCCTCCCGCGAGGAGGAACTCCTCCCTTGGGCCGGCCCTGAGGCCGGGACCGCCGCTGCCATCTCCTCCTCGTCCTCTTCCTCGGGCGCCGGTGGCTGCCACTCCTCCTCCCCGGCCGGCTCCATCTCCCCCGGCGTCTCGGGCACGCTCATGGCCCCGGCAGGATCAGGTTGGGCCGTGTGGAGCGGCCGCTCGAGGGGCAGGGGGACGCGTGAGCGCGGGCCGCTTCCTCAGGGCTCGGCCGTGCCGCGCAGCACCAGCCGCATCAGGCTTCACTCTCAGCCGCCCGCTCCGCTCGCTACGCGCGGGGGTCTCGAGCTCGCAGCCGGCGGGGCGGGGTTACATGGCTCGCGAGGGAGGGGGGAGAGAAGAGGAGAGCTTAGGTGCCCTCCTCTCCCCTCCCCCCGGCGGCGGCGCGCGCCAGGCCCTCCTTTGCCTCACCCCTCCGCGCCCCGCCCGGCCGCCCGGCCGCCTGCCTGCCGGCTCTTCACCGGCCAGGCCAGGCCTGGCCGGGCCTGGCTGCCGCGGCCTCGGCGCCCCACCCCCTCCGGGCCGGCTGTGGGGGTGCTGGGAGAGGGCGAAGAGGAAGTGGGGATTCTTCTCTTGCCGCCCCAGAGGGGGCCGCAGCACTGGGCTGCGGCGTCTGGCGCTCCTCCTCTTCCTCACACCCGCTCCCGCCCCTCTCTACCTGCGGGGTACCCGGGCAGGAGGAGGCGGCGCGCGGACTGGCCCGGCGACAACTGTCAGTTAGAAGTCCCGCTGGGCCGGGGGCGGGGAGAGGAAGGGGAGGGGCAGGGACAGAAGGGGGAGGGCACTCAAGCTACCCCCAGGCTCTGAAGCGAGCTGTGGAAAGAGGCAAAGAAAGACACCGTCGCCATCCACGGTGCGCATGCGTGGTAGGACAGCCCCACCCACCTCTTTTGCGTTCCGCTCAGCTACGCGAAAGCATAGACTTTGGCTCCGCCACGGGCCCCGAGGCCTGGTAGGTTGCGCGGCTCAATGATGTCATCAGCTTGTAGATGGCTGTTAAAGGGCGGAGTGGAGACGGAAGCAAGGCGCCTGCGCAACTTACTCGCCAATGCCAGAGAGGCCGAAGAGCATTTAAAAGCGTCTACTGGAGGTTCTTTTGCGAGATCCTAATTAGCCCTAAAAACTAAGATTAATTCTGAAGGAGCTTGCTAGATAACCCTCATTAATGGCAAATGAATAGTGAGAAGGCACAAAATGTAGATCCTTCTTGTTATAAATTTTCTTCTCTGCACCCACCTTCCCCTTTGTGACTGCCGGCTTTTTAATATAAAACTAGAATTTGGAAAAGTTTAGAAAGGAGGTTCAAGGACTCAACCAACTGAAACATACGTTCACATGCAAAAAGAAAAATATAATTTGTAGAACTCAAATTTCTAAAACTCCGGTCCCCGGTTCTTAAGATCAATTCCTATTTTAAGTAGTCTCATGTTATGCATTAAAATTAACGTATTTCCACCTCGGTTCTTGAGAACTGCTAAGGACAAATAAAGGGAATGGAACCTTATTAAAAATCCTTGGGATTAAAAACAATCTTCAAATAATTCAAGTCTAAGCTGAAAAGCATTGAATAGTTGTTAGCCTTAAAATGTCACTACACATTTAAAAATTAGTTTAAAGAATGTCTAAAAAGTGGACTCGTTCACTTTAATTATTGCTTAAAGTAAGTGGGGAGAAAGGAGCTAATGGTTCCATAAAGCAGCTATTATTTTCTCATGTTCTGTAAGAAAGATGCACATATCATTCTACTTAACACAGAATGTTCTAGCTTGAAACCTGCAATTACCGTCCTAGAAATCAAGCATTTTAAAAATACAAGCCATCTAACCAAATGGTTGGGATATTTAATTCTTGATTATTATGAACCTTTAGAGCACTGATAAAAGTCAAAACTTCAAAGCTTGGGGGGGGCAGTAAGTTAAATAGCAGTATTAGGTAATAGTTAAATGGGAACACATACACATCCATTATCCAGTTTTCAAGGTCTCCTTTCATCAGACATTTGTAACTTATTAGGCATTTACAACATTCTCTTTCTCCTCAGATCCCTTAGATGTACCTCACAGGAACAAAGCCAGGAACCAGTCTAATTTCAGCAACTGGCAAGGAAAAATGTGTCTAACTGGACATCCCTCATTTCCTTTGACAAAGCCCAAGAATCTGGACCTACCCTCCCCTCCAGCAAATATCCCCTCTTCATCTTTAGCCACCAACCCTATTTCATGACTCTGATAATATAGATTGCATTTATTGAACCCTGTGCCACCAAGCACTTTATATTATCTCCTTTAATTCTCACAACAATCCTAGGTATTATTATGCCTATTTTACAGATGTAGAAACTGATGCTTAGGTTAAGAAAGTAGTTTGCCAAAATTCAAATCTAGGTCTGTCATACTTCAAAATTCTCTATGGTGCCTAATTCCAAGTCATCTGGCAGAATTTCCAGTTCCTCGTGAACAAGAGTGTAGGGAATTGCTAGAAATTTCATCAAGGGCTTCTAGAAGGGATATTAAGATAAATAGGTATGAGTTGAAGGAACATCAGCTATAGGTCATGGAGAGGCCAAGATGATTGTGATCTTAGCTATTACGAAAGTACGATTGGGTCCTTAAATTAAAAAAAAAAAAAACTATTATACAAGAAATATGTTGGTTGTAGGTAAATTATAAAATATAGATTAGTGAGAAGAAAAAATGCCATTTAATCCCACCACCCAGAGAAAACTTCTATTAATATTTTGTGGTAGGATTTTTCTATTTATTCATGTATATTTTTATTCATCTTAAGTAAAACTGTGACTATACCATACTTAATGTCCTTTCCTTTTTTCCCTTATTAATAATAAATCATTGCAGGTAATGGATAGGAATTCCATATCTAAAATCTCAACTTCATATCTCTGTCCACAGCAGCCTAGATGGTCTGTTCTTCTGAACTGGCTGGGAGTGAATCAGGAAAATTCCAATGTAAAAGGAATTCTAAACCATAAAAAACACAGTAGAGGTACAAACAACAGCACTAACAGGTACCATTTATTAAACACTTGTTCTTAAATATTTGCTAAATACTTTACATACACAGTACTCAACAATAACCCCAGGAAATGACAGATATATTTGTTCTTAAATTTTGGATCAATGATTTGCTGACTAGAAAGCTTTTTTCTACCCTACAAAAAGCTTGACATTAAAGATCAACTTTCCAATTAATAAAATTAATAAAATTAACTCTAGATTTATAGAACTGTTTTCTTAAAATGCACATCTGCTAAATGATTGGTCTCAACGCTGTTATTTTTCATGTTTAAAGATAAAATTAATTTTGCTTCCCTTTCATTTTCATAATAGAATACTCTTCAGTGCTACTATAGAATCTATTAAGAACTTCTTTGAAATAAATCTATTTAAGCCCCATTTCGAACCAGGGTTTCTCTTTTTGTTGGGCTGCTTTGCAGGGGGGAAATGGCATACATACACAATGCAATATTCCGTTCAAACACATAATATTAATACTATATTATCAAAGAGGAATAAGCTTGCCACTATTTTTCATCCACAATTCCAAAGATATTTGTCCTGGAAGTTCTCCTATCTTTGTTAGCTCTCAGCAACTTGTGATAGGCAGCATGACATCTTGACACAAGTATATTGTTTGCCCAGCATCAATAATTCAGACAAGTAGCAAAAATTTATATACTTCACATCAACTAGGGAAAAGGTGACAAACATTCTAAGACAACGGAAGCACAGTTATCACCAAGTTCTGTGTTTAAGAGATAAAACATGCAAGGTGAACACAAGGCTAGAACACTAGTACTGGAAAAACATATAGGGAAGAAATATTAACTGTCAGGGAAAGAACAGTTCTCTCAATTATAATGGAATATAATCACAATAGTTATTTGGAATTACTTTTATGGTAAAAGATGTTCAAGTGACATTAACTGCATCAAGCAAAATTTAACAACTCCTGTAAAGCTTCCTGCTGCTCATCATCAAGTTGGGCTATGCATTCCAACCATAACTCTTCAGAAGTCTGTACCTGACGCACAACATTAGCTAGGCGTTTGGCACAAGGATCTTCATAGTTAATAGTCTCATTAATTTTTCCTTCTGCAATTATACTGATGATTTTGGGAAGATTGGAATTATTTGGACCAAGTACAACTGGATGTTTACTTTCAACTAAGTCACAGAGAAAACTCAAAGTCTGAATAGCTTCCTCTTTATCCTCATGTAGTGGAAGCCATGATAACCAATGTGGAAGAACTTCATCTACATTTACACAGTTAGGCTTAAACCTCAAAATCTTCCCTACTGCTGAGATACAGTTCTCTGTAGCAATGACATTTTTTTTGGTTTTGGAATTTGCACACTTAATAACTTTTACCAGCAGTGGAACAGCTTCTGAACATAAAGAATGATAATCATCTCCACCAAACTGTGCCATAACACCCAGGCCATAAGCAGCAGCTTGCCTGACTTCAGGGTTATTGTCTCGCATATTTAGTAGCATTGGCCACCGAAAATATTCTACATATTTAAATGAGGTTGGACTGCAGTGCTCTATAATATCATCAAAAATGCACAATCCCCATTGTCTGTCTGGCCATGGCCTACTCGAACAAATCAGATTTACAATTAATGGAAGCAGCTGTTCAAACCATGGTAAAATCTTTTCCTTATAAGTACTAAATAATGAGTGCAAAATATCTGATACTTTGGTCAGAATATAAACATCACATTCATCCTCATCTTGCAGAGACATTTCAACCTGTTGATCATAGTTTTCTTCCTGTCTTTTAACCTGTCTCAATTCTTGGTTTTTAAAGTGCCCTTCAAGTTTTGCTTTCAATATTTCCCCTAGTTCTTCCAAGTGTTCATCAGTAAGGCACCCATCTCCCATTACTTCAATGGACTTTGCAAAAGAATTCATTATTTCTGAGAGTACATCTGTATCAGGTTCAGTCCCAATAGCCTTGATTAAGGGATCACATATGAATTGCCACATCTGTGCAAGATACTCTGGGCCATGAATTCTTGCACATTCCAGGAGAAAAGGCATAGACTCTGCTGCTGCCACTCGGACACTGTCATGGAAATAAAATTTCAATAAAGGAACCATAAGCTTTACAACTTGTTCTGTATATTCCACAAATCCTTCCCTTAACTCCTTAGCATAGTAAACCAACATCTGGCAAGCAGTTGCTTTTGCTTCAAGTCCTGAAGTCTTAATTCCAAAACTTTGTTGGTCTCCAAGATTTACAAATTGCCATCCATCATCATCACTCATATTTTCCACATCTTGTGTGTCTAAGAGAGCAACATCAGGTTTAGCTGAAGCAGTCTTAATAAGAGGCTCAATAACTAGTGGAAGGTACTGTTGAAAATCATTTCCAAGAATTTTACACATTCTAGCCCATGCTGAAACCATGTAAGATGTCTGAGGGTCATCATCTTCCATATTACTTAAGTCTGATTGTGTCTTTAACAATAGCTGCATCACATTTGATGCATCTTGCATAAATTTTTCCTTCCCAACAGCAAGACCAACATGGCTAATGCATTCAATAGTTTTTCCTTTCAGAAGCTTGAGTTCCTTTTGAACAGCAAGCTCAACAATGTGCTTTAGTGATGGCATAAATATATCATAATATGGAACAAATTTTTCTTCTATTGTATCTGCAACTGAGGCAATGGTCGTCACAAGCTGTTCCAAGGCCAATTTAGTTCCATTCCGAATCAACTCTTGAAGTTTAATCACCAAGATGGAATGTAGATTTCTCACCATACTATCCAAATACAGAACTAGCAATGCTTTGGGGCAGTCTTCAATAAAAATAATAAGTGCAGAAGCCGCATGTGATTGCACACGCTGATTACCTTGATTTTCCATGGTACGCAACAGAGCTGCAATCACTGTTTCATGGAATTTCTTTTGGAAGTTAGGTGCAAAATCTGTAGCCATCTGTCCAAGCGTAGTACATGCTGCAGCCCTCACTCTTGGGTGAGGATCCTGAAGAAAAAGCAAAACAGAGTTAACTGTTTCATCTAGAATTGATTCCATTTGCTGATGGCATCCTTCTCCAATGGCAGATAAGGCCATTAATCCAGCATGTCGATATTTCCAGTCAGGGCTCTGAAGCATCTGCATGATGTGCTCCTTAGTCATTGGTAAAACAAGTTTTCCACCGAGCCCACAAGCCAGTCTGTCTAGTGCACTCTCAGCAGCAACTGCATTGCTGTCAAAATCATCTTCTTCCATTTCATCAGCATTTACCCAGTCCTCATCATCTTGTAGATCAACCATCATTGCTAATATATGAGGAACTGCCTGTGCAATTATATTTGTATGTTTTTTCAACATTGGGGTTGCAGTTTCAGACAAGGTCACTATTATTTCAAGGGCCAGCTGGCGTTGCAGATTACTAAGTCTAGAGTCTCCACATAACTTCAGACTCAACTGCAGAGTATCTTCTAAATAAGGACCCAGATATTTAGGTACAGTATCTGCAATCTCAACAAGGGATTCTAGCACTGAATCATCATCCTGGTAGCATGAGTCATTCACAGCCTGTAAGATTCCAGGAAGCAAGTCTGCAAAGTCTTTGAAAAGAGCAATATTATTCTCATTAGCAAGTACAAATGCAGCTGCAGCTCTAGCAGACAATGTCCTGATTGCTGGATGTTCTTGATCTTGAATGCACTGGTCCAACAACCGTTTGATGATATCCAAATCATGCCGCTCTTGGTTCCCAAAAATCCCAGGGAAGTGCCAGAAAACATGAAGTGCAACTTCCCATAGAACTACATTTTTAGAGTAGATAGAATCAATAAGGAATTTCAGACCTTCGGGCCAGTGATTAGTGCCATCCTCATCTATCAAATTCCTGGCCAGCACTGCAAAAATATCACAAAGTTTTTTCCTCATGCTAGCATGTGTTTCTAACTTAACAGCCAGTATAAGTTCAATCTTGACGTCCCTCTGAACACCAGAAGGCAGATTTGGATAGACTTCCTCAAACCCAGAGGACAAAAGCCGTCGTAGCAGTGCGGCAGCCATTTGTCTCACCTCATAACCTGCTCTTCTATTTCTGACAGCATCTAAGAGGAATGTAGTCTTACACAGACCTGGGATATTTTCATAGATTTCCTCTGCCTGTCTCCGCACCATACAGCTTGGATTGATCAGGTTCTTCAGAAGCTGATAAAACTCTTGCTTTCCCGACACAGCGGCCGGTACCCCTGCAGACCCAGCCGCCGCCATCGCGCTATGTCAAAGGAATCGCGACCGGGAAGGAGGGAGGGGGACTGCGCCTAGAAACAGTGACGTAAGCGAGGCGCCAGCGGGGATGGGAGGGGCCGCTTATCCTCCGCTGGCCCGGTGGTTTGGCTGTGCCCTGGAAGGGGTGGGCAGCTGGGTGTCTGGGGATAGGTAGGTTATGGTGGGGGTGAGGGGCATCCTCCATTTGTTTTCCAATCCGATTAAAAAAAAAGCACCTGCAGAGAAAGAAAAAAAAGAAAGAAAATTATGTTAGTGACTGTATTAGAATGGGAGTATGGATGATTTCCCACCCTTTATTTCTAAACTTTTGTTACCCTGATAATTTTAAACGATAATTACATCTTGAAAACCCGCCAGGTGAAAGAAGCCAGCCACAAAAGGCCACATATTGTATGATTTCGTTTATAGTAAAGGTCTTTTTATTTTCCCCTCGAGCAATTTCATTTTATTAATTTTTTTCAAGTTTTTATTTAAATTCTAGTTAGTTAACAGATAGTGTAATATTAGTTTCAGAAGTAGAATTTAGTGATGCATCATTTAGATGCGACACTCAGTATTCATCAGAAGTGCCCTGCTTAATACCCATCACCCATCTAGCCCATCTCCTGTCCACCTCCCTCCATCAACGCTCCTTTTGTTCTGTATAATAGTCTTTTTTATGGTTTACTTCTCTCTCTCTCTTTTTGTGCTCTCCCACGTTCATCTGTTCTGTTTCTTAAATTCCACAAATAAGCAAAATCATATGGTATTTCTTTTTCTGACTGACTTAATTGCTTAGCATTATACCCTCTAGTTCCATCCACATCATTACAAATGGCAAAATTTATAGTAAAGGTCTTGAAAAGGCAAATCTATACAGAAAGTAGATTAGTGGTTGCCAGAGGCAGTGGGAAGGAGAGAATGTAAAATGACTGCTGTCAGTGGGGCGCCTGGGTGGCTCAGTCGTTAAGCTTCTGCCTTTGGCTCAGGTCATGATTCCAGGATCCTGGGATTGAGCCCCTTACTGGGCTCCCTGCTCTGCGGGAAGCCTGCTTCTCCCACTCCCACTCCCCCTTCTGCTCCCTCTCCCACTCCCCCTTCTTGTGTTCCCTCTCTCGCTGTCTCTCTCTCTGTCAAATAAATAAATAAATAATCTTAAAAAAAAAACGACTTGTCAGATAGTTTCTCTTGGAGTGATGAAATGTTCTAAAATTAATTGTGGTGACGGTTGCACAATTCTAATTATACTAAAAACCACTGCATTGTACAACTGAGATTGGTGAATTGTATGGCATGTGAATAATAATATCTCAATAAATCTGTTTATCAAATAAGTGCAATAAAAGGTAAAGACACTGATTATCATCCCACTACCACATGTAATGCAGCAAAAACAGTGGTGCTCAAATTCTGGTGTGTCAAAATCACCTTGTCTGTGGACTATAATAAAGAATGAGAAAGACAACTAAGTAAAGCATAGTGGAAAGTGACCTGGGCTAGTAATCAGAAGACTTGAATCCTAGTCTTATTTGTAAATTAATTTTGTATCCTTGATCATGTCACTCAAGGTTTTCTTTGCATGTAACCTAAACTGTAAAATGCTTTTACAGTTTTCCTTTTAGAAGGAAAATGCTGAAATTATTCCAAGAAACAAATATCCCTGAAGCTAAGTATTATTTCTTTAAATTCAAGCAGGTGTGCAATCAAAAACAATGATCATTCCTCTAACAATGATTAAATCTTACTTTTGTGTTAGCACTTTGCCACTCTCATTTTTAACCTTAATCAGGTTTGACAAATTTGGTGGGCTTGGTATAATACTAATTTTAGGTAAGTACTAGAAACTCGGGGAGGTTAAGTGATCTGCCTGAGATGACACAGCTGAGTCTCAAATCCACTTCTTCTGAAAGCAACACCAATGATCTTTCACCATACCAATTCCCCATAATTACTCTTGGTTTTGCAACATGATCAGAGGTCTTCACTTATTGCAAAGTCTGTCTTAAACTTCTCCAAGTGGGCTTAAATTTTAATTTTGTAAAATGTTACTGCATATACCAACAAAGATAGAAAATCCAGCTTTAGGATTAACCAGATGATAGACAAAACAGTCTCATAAATTACATTGTAATATGCAATACTATACTCATTTAGGAAAAAGCATTACTCTCTAAACAGTTTCTCATTCTGTGGACTTAGGTATTAGGACCCAGGGTCTAAAATAATGAATCAGAATTTCTGGGAATGCAACCTGAGAATGTTTAATTTTAACAAACACACTGGGTTTTCATATAAATACGAAAATTTGAGAAACACTGATTAGATCAGTTCTGGTTCTGATTCCAAGATCTTGACTACAGTTTTGCATATTGCTCCAGATCACTGGTTTTCCTACTGTTTCTTAAATAAGCTTAACTGAAGGGCCTTGCATTTGCTATTTCAGGAAATGTTAATGATTATACGAGGTTCAGGGGAAGGAGAGGAGGCTTCTCCTAACACTGTATCTATTAGTATATTGAAGACTTATTAAAAACTAGAATAAGATAGCACCACAGACCTACCACAATGTTTTAAATTTAAAAGTTTGACAATAGCAATGGTTGCTGAGGATGTGGAGCAACAGGGAACTCAGTTATATTTTTGGTAGTAGTATAAGTAAATTGGTACAACCACTTTGAAAAAATGTTTGGAAAATGCTGGGCTAACATTATGTAACCATTCATTCTCTCAGCAAACATTCATTGGGGGTAAACTCAAGCATGGTGTTGGCTGCTGGGGGTAAAGATTAAATATGTGAGGATGCTCATGAGAGACAATAAATGTCACATAGCATAGTTATCACTGTGGTGATAGTAAGTCTGCCATGGAAACAAATGGGGTTGTGGAGGCAGCTAATCTACTCTGGGTATGAGGGAGATAAGGTAAGGCTCCTAGAGAAGGTGAGATCAGGACTGACTTTTTTTTTTAAAGATTTTTATTTACTTATTTGACAGAGAGAGAGAGAGCATAAGCAGGGGGAGTGGCAGGCAGAGGGAGAGGCAGGCTCCCCGCTGAGCAGAGAACCCAATGTGGAACTCTATCCCAGAACCCTGGGATCATGACCTGAGCCGAAGGCAGACGCTTAACTGACTGAGCCACCCAGGCACCCCAGGGCTGACTTTTGAAGGACGAATCTTCATTAACTATTTGAAAAAAGGAGAAGTTTTTCTAAATAGAGGGAACGGCTTTGTTCAAGGGTAAAGAGACATTAGAGCCTAGTGTGGTAAGAGTTCTGCCAGTATTTCAGAATTGCTGGAGCATTGAGGACAGGACTTGAGGGGGCCTGAGATGCCACAGGAGTCAGGAAGGAGGAAGACAGAAAATTAAATAAGGCCAAATCACGAAGGGTCTTATATTCCGTGTTAAGAAATGTGGATTTTTTTTCTATAACAGGCATCAAGCTGTTTAAGGATTTTAATCAAGGACTGCGATATAATCAATTTACAAAAAGATTACTTTGATAATAGTGTGAAGATTGGAGGCAAATAGGAGGCCAATAACATAGTTCAGTTAAGCTGAAAGTCTAAACCATAACAACAATGGAAGGGGAAAAAAGAGGGTAAATATTCGAGAGGTTTTAAGAAAAAGTGTCAGTGGCACTCAGAGGAGAAGGAGAAGCTTAAGAAATTTCCCCTAGTGAGTCTGGGCATCTGGCTGGAATACTGCAATTTATCTATTTATTTACCTATATATGGATAAATAGCAGTGTTAATGTGGACCAAAAGACTGCTAACTCTTTCTAAAGGAAAAAGAGTCTTCCCTAAAAAGTGAGTCCTAGAATCTATATTTAGTTCTTCTAGTTGCTCCCACATGTTATAGTGACAGTCATCATTTCAACAGTAGGAGCTAAACTGAATCCATTTTAGGAAAATTATTTATGATCTTTTGTTTTAGAAAAACACACACTGACGAGGCGCCTGGGTGGCTCAGTTGGTTAAGCGACTGCCTTCGGCTCAGGTCATGATCCTGGAGTCCCGGGATCGAGTCCCGCATTGGGCTCCCTGCTCAGCAGGGAGTCTGCTTTTCCCTCTGACCCTCCTCCCTCTCATGCTCTCTGTCTCTCATTCTCTCTCTCTCAAATAAATAAATAAATAAAACTTAAAAAAAAAAAAAGAAAAACACACACTGACTTAAAATATTAAAGTACTTCCTCTCTATATTGTATAATTCTCTTCTATTTACTTTTTGCACTGTTATTTCCTTCCCCCACCCCCACCCCAGGAACACATATAATAGCCAAGATTTCAAGACTGGACCTGCAGATTTGATTAGAGTTGAAAACCTTTATTAAATTTTATGATTAAAATTGGCTTTTAAAATTGTTTTCGCTGTTGAAATGTCATTTAAGAATGTTTGCATAAGGTAGCTCAATACCAGACAATTCAAGTATTTATTAGCAAATTACTGAGTGGGAAAAGTGCAAAATAAGTTGCAAATTTCTTCCAAGATCTGATAGATTTAGAGTCAAATGAGGGGGACAGAATTAAATTGGACATATTTGACATTTTTACAAGAATAATCCAGAATAAAAATACAAGAAACAAAAAATACCAGGAAGTCTTCCACTGGCCTAAGACGGGACAATCTGAATGTCAAAAAGAATAATGCCTATAATGGATTTAAAAACATCAAGTATATAAACAAAAGTGATGAGTTTCTAATACTAACAAAAGCCACTAACTCACTGATCATTTTTGGAGGTTGCTAGGTCACCAACTATGAAATTGATAGAGATAAATAATCAAGATTTTTCCTGTCTTTCCTGTACAAACTGTATTTTAGGATAACCAAATAGTTCATGAGAGTACATTTTTCTTTACAGAATTCCAGCTAATGAGTGCACAAAGAATGCTAAAATCAGAGAATTTCTGTGTTGTAACCCTAAATGAAATCATGAATCTAGGTAATAATAAACAATGGATGTTAAAACCATTAAATGAAACAATGATTGGGAATTTAATAATAGAGAGATTAAGCTGAAACCACCTGAAATTACTGATT